TAGCCAGAGCTGCACAGAACCTCTGCTAGGCACCTCAGCAAGGACATCCACATGGACCCATTGCGGGGGCCATATTCTCTCCAAGTTCCCTGCTCTCCCCAGAACTGCAGCCATCCTCACCACAAGGTCCCTAGAGGGGATGCAGCCAACCTCCTGTGCTTAGGAAACCCCTGAGCCCTGGGTGCACACTAACCACAAGGCCCAGCCACACAGCTGAGGACGATCAAACCTCCCAGCTGCTGAGCAGGCTCTCCTACTTAAAGCCCCTTCAACTCAGGCATCCCCATGTTTGTCTCTGGTGTCCTGGCTCTGCCCCTTGCTCAGAGATGCCACCCTTCTTCCTGACTTGTTTTAGAGCTGCTGCGTCCCCTCCTTCCTTGCTTCTCCTGACAACAGGCTCCTTGGGCCCCTCACAGGAGAGCGGCGCGCAGCCGTGGCCTTCAGAGGGGAAATGCTGCCTGTTCCCTGCACAGCTGCCCATGATGGCAGCCCTCGCATCCGTGTGCCTCTATGGGCTGTCCCAGCACTGGTGCAGTGGAGTGGACCAGAGCGGGTTTTGTAGAGCTAGGGCTGGAGTAGGTGTGTCTTCTGGGAGCACTGAGGCTACTGAGCCCCTTTGTGAGGTTCTGCGCTGTCTCCGGTCTCTCCTCGCCCTGCTATGCATGGGAGTGAAACATGCCTGGATTTGAACATCATGAGGAAGGCTCACACTTGGGGAGTTTGCTTTGCAGCTGTAGCAAAAGGGGGCTGAGGAAGAGCCTGGCAGGCCTGTGTGACCCCTGCTGCTGCCTGGCTCCTCTGCATGGGCTGCTCTTGCCTGGCTTCCGTGGCCCTTGCTGTGTGCCATGGCCGTGCAGGTGAGGAGCTCTGTGGCACGGGTCTTCAAGTGGCCCAAAGAAAAGGGTCCTGGATTAAACTACAGCTTCTTCCAGCTGAGGGGGAAAATGTTATTTTTTAGTTTTTATTTTTTTTATGTCCACCTCAACTCAAACTGCTCAAGTTGCATGGTGGGGAAGGCCCAGAAACACAGGTCTTAGAGGTGGAGTCAAGATCTTGTAATTTGAGGGTCTAAAAAGGAGAGCCAGGGAGTGTTCTGGGTCTCAGGGGAAGGAGCCTGAGCTCCCAAGCAGCCCCGAGCCCCTCTTTGAGCTCCCAAAACCCAGGATTTGGTTTCCTTTCCCAAGCCCCCAAATGCAGGACTGAGCATCCTTTGCTGAGCCCCCAAGGGCTGTTATGGAGCCCTCAAACAGCTCTGGGGGCTGGCGAGGGCTCAGAAAGGAGCCCAAGCTCCAAAACTCCAGAATTTCACTGCCCCAAGCCCCAGACAAGACCCTTTTCCCAAGCCTGTGGCCGAGCACCAGAAGGCCAGGACTGAGCCCTCTTTCTGGCCCCTAATACAGCCCCTGGAGCCCATTCGGGACCCCAGACATGCACGACTTGGGCATGGAGGCAAAGCCCCCCCAAAACCGCCCTTTCATCTCCGTTCCCACCCACCAAGAGCTGCCCCAGCAGCCTCCCGGAGCCC